GCTTCTTGTTCCTAGTAGTAGGGCCAGGAGCTCCTAGTAGCTTCTTGCTCCTAGTAGTACGGCCAGGAGCCCCTAGTAGCGTCCTTGCTCCTACTAGCGATGCCAGGAGCTCCTAGTAGCTTCTTGTTACCACTAGTAACAAGTGCCACGCTAGTAATAACAAGAAGCTAATAGCTTATTGTTACTACTAGTAAGGCACTTGTTACTAGAAGCGATGCACTTGTTCCTAGTAGCTTCTTGTTACTAGTAGCGATGGCCTCCACGCAACGAGCGATGGCCTGTAGGTTTTGTATCGGACTTCCCGCGCCAAGGGCAATTTCAAGAGAGGGACTTTGGTCTTTAAAGCGCTGACAGGTTTGGCACCGTTCGCCGCTGCGCGGTGCGCTGTGTCGGATCAATGATACACAAAAACTGCCTCACGTCGTTCCTGCTCGATAGAATCCGATAGAAACACAACCCGTCGTGGGGAAGCTTCGTGGACCTGTGCTATGTGAAGCCAACGCCGTGCGCTGACAAAGCAGCGTAGGCGAATCCCAAATTAATCAAAATGGCAAACCAGTCCCTTTTGTTACTACTAGTAACAAGTGCCACGCTAGTAGTAACAGGTGCCTTATTAGTAGTAACAAGAAGCTCCTAGGAACAAGTGCCTTACTAGTAACAATAAGAATTTTGCGAACGGATGGAAAGGTGTGCCCTGGCCCCGTTCTAGCCCTTAGTTCAACATGAAGCTCGCGCGCTAAAGCTCCTTTTTACCTGGTTGGGCACTTGAGCCAAAAGTATATGGCATGTACCTATATAGCAACTATACTGGGACCTCATCCCTATTGACACCCCCCACATCCGTACTTCGACGGAGAAGGGAGATGAGTGGATGTAAACAAAAAAACCGGAGAGCGAATCACGCTCTCAAAAGTGTATTGGAGGTCAACCAGTATGTCCTATTGAACTGAATTAGCAAACGATTTTGCATTCGCTTGAAAGTTGGATCAAACAGGTAATGGAGCTACAAGCGGAAAACGTGCACCTACCTATGGTATCATGTGATTACCAGCGGTGTGAAACACAATCCTATCTCACTCCCATGATGCCAAAACGGTCACCATGAATTACCCAAGATCCCTCAGTACACGAAGTACCAGAAGTGGCATGTCGGTATGACCCCAATGCTCAACCATTCGTGAGTTGTCGCATGTAGTCAGCGCCGACAAAGCCAATGTAGTCCTTGATGAGCTCAACGTTCCTCGGATTTCCCGCTCGGATCTGCTCCTCGAAGAACTTCAATTTCTGTGCTTGGATATCGGATACCTCTATGCCATAGTAGCGGCACGCAACGAGGATCTCCTTCGTGACATTCTTTCGCTCCGATTTGATGGCGGGGCTAATGTCAATGAATTTGTATGGAGCGGCACTTTCGTCATCTGGTTTCTGGTAGTAGCTATATCGGCTCGCTCCGAAGGTCTTCCTGATCAAGCGTCTGATGAAATTTGAGATGAATGCCAGTTTCTCGATGATCTCTTCCTGGGTCTCAGACCTTCGAGCCTTTGGATCACTCATGTTACGCCGAGTGCTGCCGACCTCTTTGAGATACTTATGGCTAAGCCCGCAGCGGATTGCAGTGATCATCATCGGGTGAACAACGTGGGCGTGGAACTCATAGATCTGCCACGCTTCTGTTGCATACACGTCGTTGGTCCATTTGCTCATGCCTACGACCTCGGCTCTCTGGAGACGTCTTGGAAACCCAGTATCCGGATCATTCGGTACTATTGGCCATCTATTGTATGGAGTGTCATGCCGCTGTCCATCGTCGAACTTTCGCAGTACGTCTTCACGACTCTCAAAGCAGTTGATGTCGAACGTCGCGTTGGCCAAGCTCTTGATCAACTTCATCAACCTCAGATCAAATTGCTGTGTGACTGCAAAGTTGTGGTCGATGGGGATCGCAGCTTCTTGTGGCAATTCGTCGATTGCGAAGGGGAAAGGCTGCGGAAGTTCATTCCCGTATCCATCTTGAGGGACCTCCCGATATTCGGGTTCGCCTTCAGCTTCGTCCGGTCGTTCCTTCAAAATGATAGGAACTTCCTCCTCTTCCTCTCCTTCGGATTCCTCGACCTCAATGACCTCTTCGGCTGTCTTACGTGCATTCTTGATGACTTCGTCGATGTTTGCACCTGCAGCAGAAGTTGCTTCACCGGAAGAACTGGCTGGGACATCTTTCGGAGGCGATCGTTGATTGCGGTCCCTTGTCTCCTTGGGTACCACATGCGTGAGTTTCCCATTCGCGATCAAAACCGCTACGCAGTGCGGACATATCGTCAACCGCACATCGACTTCGCCAAGACAGTTAGGACACGGCCTTGAGTCATAGTCTTTCATTGCCCGGCGGTACACGATCTCCTCAAAGATTTCCTGCCACTCGGTGCTGTCATATTCTGGGTATACACCACTCTCCTCGATCATACCCAACAGTTTTGAGATTTTGGCGTCGTCCTCGGAGTAGGTATCGTCCTGAACTTCAACCGCTAAGCTCTCAAGCTTTTGAAAGCGTGGGATCATGATCGGGTTTCCGTATTTGGACTCCAGAACAAGGTAGCTTCCAGGATCGGGTTCCCTATTGAGTAACCTGATCCATTCGATCTCCTCAGGCTGTCCGGGTTCCGCATTGTCGCATTGCAACCATGCCCCTTTAACCTCATCGAAGGGAACGACGTTCTCAACCAATAGAGAGCCAGTCGCTGAGATGAGAAGTCCGTACTCCTGCAGCTTCCACACCGGAATGTAGAGAACCACTGGGCGATCACTCAATGCGACCTTACGACCCAGCCAAGGTTTTCCCTTGTAGCCCTGCTCCCAGGCCCATGGCGGAAAACATGTGAAGTGGATAGAATCCCTTCCCGATGAACCGAGACCTCCTGGCACTAGCCCCCGTCGCATGATTGAAGTCAGCGCTCCAAGATTGGTAGCGTGAAATGCAGTCACCATAGATAGGGCCATGTCGTTGGTCATTCTCGATCCAATGTGGTCGATGTTAATGGTAACGTCATAACCTCCGCCGTCCGTTGAGTGTGCTGAGGTTGCTCTTACGGCCACGGGAAAGCACCATCCATCGCTATGGTGGAGTCTTCCTTTAGAGATTCCCATGCCCTTGAGTTCGTCAATCCATTCCTTCTCCATCGGGTCATCAGGGTCATTGAGTTCGTCAGGGTGAACGCGGACCGCCAACATTTGGAATCTGATCCTCTTGGTTATGCGGAAACACTCATAGTTCTGGTCGAAGTACTTCTCCAAACGCGCCTTCTTGGTCACGGTATCTACGTTGCCGTAGTGATAACCGTCTTCCCAAACTGCATTATCACCTAACAGGTCTTCCCACGACACCCATGCGCCTTCATCGCATTTGATTGGTGCGAGTCTTCCACCTGTTCTGAACTGGCGTCCAATTCGATGTCTCAACTTCGCTCCCAATCGACGACTCAGGGTTTGGCTCGCTTGGCTGTATTCAGGTACTCGACAGTCTGGAGTCGGATACTTGTGGTTGCCGTAGTCGGAGTTCGTTGCAGCGAA